TTGTAGGATAAAAGTCGGTACTAGGTAAATCCGTACTTTTACTATCTAACATATTAAGTCAGAAAGGTACTGATTACTGATTTATTATTTAATAGGGGATGCGATCACCATTGTTTTCTATAATTAATTTATATCGATGCTTCATCGAATCTATTTAAATTGATTAGGACGGAATTTGGAATATTGTCACACTTTTCAGTCATAAACTGTTCTAATTCCTTACAGTTCCTTGGTTTACGCCTTCCCACATTTGTTTAACTATGTTCCAAAGGTTTTCAATAGGATTAAGGTCAGGACTGTTGGAGAGCCAGTCCAACACCATTGGAACATTGCAATACGAGAGGTATGCTTAGGACCGTTATCTTGTTAGCGCATCTGCCTCCCAACAGTCCTCTTATTTCTGGGAGGTGTTGTTCTAATATTCCAACATAGAAATTCGCATCCATAATGTTGCTGAAGCAAAAGAGACTAGTCTTCCCTTTTGCACAAAAACCACTCCATTGGGCGTATTGGCCTTGCACTTTTATGCCAGCGTGTAATTGTGTTACGAAACAATTGGAAGGATGTTTCGTCAGTGAAAACTGTTTGTTTCCAATTGTCATTTAAATGTTTGTTGGCCCATATTACCCGATTTTCTTTATGAACCTTTGTCAGCATGGGAGTGGTAAGAGAAAGGCTGTTTTTGTAACTATGTTCAGCCAAATGCCGTCCTACAGTTATGCGAGAGACCACAATTCCTTCATCTTTCAATTTACTGGCAATTAATTTAGTAGAAATAGTCGGGTTTCTTCGAACATACTGGCCAGTTCTGCGAGCATTAATAACGGCTGTAGTTCTTTTACGACCATTTCCCCCTCTGTGCTTTACATTTCCTTTTTTTCTGATTTTTTTTTTAGGTTGCAATATATTGTTCTAATTGGAATGTTGGTCAATGATTTTACTCTGGGGGCTTCCCGTATTCCTTTCTCCCAATAATATAATATCGTTTGTCGTTGTATTTAGTTAATGGATTGCGACATTTTACACTTTTGTTTTGGGAAAGCACGAAGTAAGTTGAAAATAGTCAGTTTGGAATGATAGTCCATTACATAAGATCCATTCATTACGCGTTTATTTTAAAAACTGGTCGAGTTACGTACATGCAGATTATTTCTAAATTTTCTTTGAACACCACTGCATGTTGCCCATAATGTGTGCTAAATTTAGTACTAATTTTACGGTAATTACGTTGCTTGTTATGCCAATGTTTTTATTTAATGGGGTGTCGGTGGCTTTTGAGACGAGATTGTATCTCATATAATTACAGTATTCCAGGCAATTCAAGGACGGAAATTCATTAGTTGATGTCTATATGATAAGAGAAATATTTACACGACTAGTGCAACATAAAATTTATGCTACTTACTTGAATAGACATAATTTATGTTTGGTGTACTACATTGAAAACGCTTTTTTCACACGCGACCGACGATGCAAGAATTGTGGCCGCACATTGTCATGCTTATTAATATTTAAACTTTTTATAACTCTGATGTCTGGGAGATTGTTGTATTCAATTCTGCCAGTGGGAAAGCGATTTGTTCAGACCGAATCTCAGCTCGGACTAATGCGCTTTACTGCTGTAGTAATTTGCTTAAGATTGAACTAGAACTAACGACTATTTTTATTACTTGACATGCACTACTTAATTCTATTCATATATAAATTTGCGTCTTGTCGGTCTTTGTCAAATTTCAGCAATTGAATATCCAATAAAGTCATTTACTAACAAGACGTCCAATTATTTAAGACGACAACAAATTGGTTCTTAACTAATAAGAGAGATTTTATTTGGGAATAATATAAGTCGGTAGTTGGCCTTTTTGTTTCTTGGCACTTATGGATAAAGGTTTTCGTCGCACAAAAAGCTTTTGTCGATTTGCGTAATCGTTGAAACTAATTGTTATTATTGACGTCGTTATAAAACACTTTATGTGATCTAAACTATTGGCATATATAAATTACTCAAACTTTAAACTTGAGGATTTTGACGATGGGAAATGCATACTTTTTTAGTAAACTATAATCATTCTGCGCGATTCTGTAATAATTCGCGATTTAAGATTTGTAAATTGTCATCTGATTCTCAAATAATTGGAAGATAAGTAGCTTGTGGTTTAGCACAGAAAAGGCGGTTAATTAGTTAATTACAGTGTGCAATACCCCTGTATATGGGAGTGCGACGTACGAATATTACGCTAAACCCCCTGTTGAGAATGTCACTAGAAATAACAGCAACATTTTCAAAATAAATTTGCAGCTTGCGGAAGTACTGCACCGGCTTTCTTAAATATTTATCGTACAATACCTTTATTATTATTAATAATCAACCCCTTTTTTGTTCTTCTCACTAAAGACGGTAACAATATTCACACATGCCAATATTTTTGTTCTAAGTTTACACGATGCCCACGTAATGTTTTCACACGTTTGGAGGAATGAACGCAATCTATTTTATTTTTAGGCAGAAGAAAAAAAAATCACGACTTGCACATTTACAATTGTTTCACAACTAATAATGTCTTAACTACAAATACTGTATAGTGTAAAAGCCGGAGTTCCTTTGCCCGCCCCACCAACAATCGTCATTATCGTTCTCATTATTATTATTGTCCAAAATTAAATTTATGCCATAATAAAATTCAATGAAGTAGTCGTGGTCATTTCTAGTAGTAGCAGTAATATGTGGCAGACTGAGAACACTTCCCCCACACATGTTTTTGTAAACCAAGAAGGTAAATTCAATCTAGCTGGTTTCGATTAGAACAAATAGATTATTATCTAAAACTACGTACGTACCAATCTTTTAATTCAGTTTTGAAAACCAATACTTTGTTTTATATTTGCATACTCGCATCAACTAGTAGGAGCTGTACGGTTTTCTTCGAATACACACGTAGAACAGAATTTCACGTAAAAATATGATCGCTCACTTGCAAATGATACGGCTCATAAACGTACACATGCTTAACAATACGATTATTTATTTGACTGTAGCAAGAAATACAGAACCTTCGTACCATTATGCATAATATTGGCTTTAAATGTCTATATTATAAAAATGTCTCAAAACAATGAATGTGTGAGTATTTACAACTGACAATTAAAAACTTGCCTCTGAGATTAGTATTATCAACTGTCTTAATACACAGTATACCAAAAATAAAGTCCATCCTAGCATTTTTGGCATCAAGAACAAAAAATGAAAAAGCATGTTATAATGTACAATCATGAACTGAATACCTTCTATCATAACACCCGGTATTACTTCTATTTATCTGTCATAACATCTTTCCATTAACAAACCTCACTAATCAATTCACTTTACCAGCTCATTACAAAAACCATCAAACTACTTCCACCTACTCACACAATAATAATCCTAACCACTATCTCTGTTCAGTCTTTTGGCAAAAGCTATGGCAAACGAACTAACATTATATTCGTCCAACTGGTCACCATCCGCCAATAACTTGTTAAACACCGGGACCATCTTCTCATGCAACGACGCCAGCTTTGTCCTCATATGCCTAACATCTTCCTGAATGTCTCTCAGATCGCTACGCTTCCTATCCACCAGACGTCTCAGATTATCGCCATGCTCCGCCATTTCTTCTTTTTTGACTGCGAGGTTACGTTCATATTGAACAACAGTTTTAAATTCTTGTTCTTGTTCTTTGATCGTTCGAAGCGATTAATAAATGTGTGTACGGACGTAGAAATAAGATAAAGGTGAGATTACAAAATAATATAGGGAATATTACGTGATAAAAGATATTAGCAAACATTGGAAGAGGTTCAAAAAAGTCCCTCTGCTCTTTACCCTCATGGAATTTGTTGAACACATCGGAAAAGACTGGGAATGGTATCAATATCTTTTTCAACGGATACGCTGTGATTTCAAAAATAAGTTAAATTCAAAGCCGGGAAGTGTTAATGAATCTGTTAATTAAATATGAAAGCAACGATATAACCACAATAAACCATACTTGGTGCGAAAAATCCCACAGAAGGTGACGAGCAATTCTACAAAGATTCGGACGAAAACGAAATCAATACTCTAAACCGTAAACGAAGCCGTTCTCCATCTAGTAAATACCTTAGGCTCACCTGGTGAAGTTTTGGAATTGGTACTTCCGACGGCTCATCGGAGTTATCTTGATTACTTCTCGACCGAAGGGCATGTCGTGGAGTAGGCATTCGCTTTGTGCTCCCTACACTTCATAAAGTTTAGATCAATCACTCCTGACGCACCTCAGAGAGAGAAAAAGTAAATAGACACGAGAACTAAGCTGACCTCGTGGCCGTCCTCTACCACGACCGCGACCACGAACACGACCACGACCACGAACACGACCACGACCCCGACCACGACCACGACCGCGCGTTGAAGTCGAGCGAGGGGAAGTTGGAGCAGAAGAGGTAGGATTATCAGCAGCATCATCTGCATTACTATCCGCGCTATTGTCTGCATAGTCAATATAAGATTCTTTGTCTGTTTGCGGGACGCGGAAGTGAGTCGTGATGGCGAAAATAAGGTTAGGTGCATTGGAGCTTACCGCTAGATTCGTCCGCGGAGGGTTCGCTAGTGTCAATAGGTTCGGCACCATTAGGAACAAAGTCGTCGTCGGAATCTTCACTGTCGAGTAGTTCCGTTCTTAACCAGCCTTCGTTCATTTTATTATTATTATTATGCATTAAGGAATGTAAATATATCTTTATTGAGAACCGACAAAACAAAAAATGAAAATCATGCCGGGGAAATTCGAGTCACGTGCATGATACCATTCCGAATAAGTTGTTATACACGTGGTACAAAGATATAAGGAGGAGCGAAGGCGGAATCTTTACTAAAATAGAAATCGACAAATTAATTGTCATTATATCAACCAATAGACATCCACTATATCATATTGAATATGGAGTTTGACATGATTTAGATGTGAATTTTTAAAAAAAAAATGCTCGGATTCTGGAGGAGATCGTATGAAGTGCTAAAAACAGAGAGCGTAAAAGGTAGCCGGTAACTGTCTTCAATGATAATAAGTTGCATAAGTTATATTATGACAGTACTAACATGTAATTGCATATTTTCTAATAGCTGTCAAGGGAACTGCGCTAACATGGCAGAAAGAACTACCAATGCTCCAGCTAAATACTAAAGAAGATCTTCAGAAGTGGGTCGTTGGGAGCGACAAAGACATTGGAGGTAAGGTTCACTTTGCTCACGTCATTTCTTATGTTATTTCTTACGTTATTTTAACGGCCCAATTTTTTAATGACAGGTAATTCAGACGCGAAGCTAGAGATAACGCCTGAAAATGTTTGTAGGTTTTACGGTAATGTTTGTAAGGATTTACCTCCAATTGCTTCTGAACAAGCCGCTAGTGGGTATGCGGGAATGAGATCAAAGGTATGGAATTTTTCGTTCCAAGCAAAATTAAAGTCTACAGAGTAACTCAACTTGCTGATTGATGCTAGGTTCGCGGGCTAACGGTATTTGGTACACCCAATTGGGATACTTCGATGTTCCGTTTTCTTGCTCTCAGGGTGAGAGGAGACAATAAGAAATATTTTGTAAACATGCAGACAGAAGGTGTGCATCCAGCTGATCTGTGGCAGCATAGATTATTTTTGAGAAATCCGGGGCAATGGGAAGTTGTCATGGTATGATGGTTAAATTAATAATCTGCAAAGCTGGACGACAAAAGATAGTTGACGCAAGCCAAGATAACACCGTTTATAATGCCACCAACAGCAACACTGAACAGCACTAGTCATTATCATATAGATTCCTTTCCGGGACTTCATATTAACACGAAAGGGAATTATACTGGAACCTCAGATTGAAATGAATCGCGAGAAAGTCAAGACTGTTGGGTTTTCTCTTTTAGCACAATCTGGACCATTCAGTCTTGAGATAGATTATATCACAGCTATAAATACCGAGGAAACCGAGGGTAAGGGGGTGTATATGGTAATATTCTGTTGGCAGAAAGACACTGTTTCACCTTTTTTTTTTTTTTAAAAAAAACAAAACAAAACAGGTGATTGGCCTCGCATAACAAAGCCGAAGAAAGATAAAGAGAAGGCTCAAATTGAAGCTGCGTTATGACACAGCCTTTGAGAACTGTACAGTGATCTTTCCAATCGATACAAAACTATAAAGCGTCGATCTAGATACGAGAAAACTATCAATACAACCAGTGTAGAAGGATTGGCTAATAGTATTGGTATTTTATAAAATGGAGTAACCTCTAAAAAAATTTACATTAATAAATACCGTAACAATGGTTTTGGGAATGCAGCGCAGACATACATATACAACGTATCTTGAGGATTTGTCATTAAAATGAAAATAACAACTATAAGATATAATTCTAGGATTTTGTTATAATGATCATGTCCGCTCCCAATATTTCCTCCTCAATCAATATTGATCAATGTACGCCTCTTTACTCTTACATCGCTGTTATTCTCCTCGTTTGCATCCTTTGCTTCCTCCTCAATCTTCTCTAAGAATTCTTGTAATCCTCCAGGAATCTCTTGCATCTGTACACTTGGTGCTCCCTCCAAATATCTCAATTGTTCTGATATAGTGGTCTTTATCCTTCCCAAATCATTTTTTGTATTTTGATTATCCATCTTACGCACTAAATCCGGATGCAATTTAAAATCGGGCATAAACACTGGCAACCATCTGCTATTCGCCGGTATCTCGTCTGGTAACTCAGCATCAACCAAAATACTCGTCTCATAGGTCCAGCATCTAGCAACGTTCTGAATAGTATACCCGCCGCCGCCAAGCACTAGCAATGGCAATCCCCAAGATTTGATAAACCGTACACACTCTCCGTGAGCCCTAATTGACAAATTGAATGCTCCGAGTCTGTCGAGCCCTAATGAATCTGCGCCACATTGAAGCACAACTGTTGATGGTTTATAACGTTCATTGACTTGGGTCATCACATCTTTGAAAAGCGTCACATAGCTGTCATCATCGACTCCGTCTTTGAGGGGAACATTGACGCAAAAGTATTTACCGAGACCACAACCTATTTCATTGAGGTCGCCAGTACCGGGAAAATACTCGCCGTCGTATTTGTGAAAAGAAACCGTCATTACGCGGTCTGTTGTGTAGAAAGCTTCTTGAACGCCATCTCCGTGGTGAATATCAATGTCAATGTATAACACGCGTGGATAATATCTGGGATATAATAAAATGGCAATAGACGATAAATAAACGGAAATATATTTTATCAAGTACAGATATCTGTTACAATTCAAGACATTCTATCCAAACATGTATATATGCTTTTCATATTCCACAAATCTCCTCACCTTAACAAATGTCTAATGGCCAACACAATATCGTTGATATAACAAAAGCCCGAAGCTTCATAACTCTTAGCATGGTGCAGTCCACCACTCCAATTAACACAAATATCTGCTTGCCCCTGACACAGTTTATTAGCAGCGGCAATCGAGGATCCAGAATAAATGCGACAGAAATCATACAACCCATCGAATAACGGGCAATCGTCGCTTACGTTATATCTATGCTGATAGACATTTTGATCAGGGCACGTATAAGCAACAGAAGAAGCTCTACGGGTAGAAGGATCATGTAACTGAGTAAGGGAAATGAACACACAAAAGATAAAGATAATAGATCACCCACACGTTACGGCAAACCTCTTGAGAAACTCTATGTAATCTGCTTCATGAAATTCCAAGAGCTGTTCTTCAGTAGCCATCGGGGGACAGTAAACTTCCATGCGTTTGTGAAGTTCATAGTTAATAACGAGATCGTTTGTTAAAGTGAGACGATGGGGTTTCATCGGATGGCCTTTCTAAATCAGTAGACGGCAAAATCTGATCAAACTGTCTCATGATAAAGAGAAACAAAAGAGTAAGCGTAAATTTAGGGCAACTTACTCCTTGCCATACTCCATAATGAAAGCTCCCAGCGTCTTTATGATGGAAGTAAGCGACTTTCGGTTTGGAATGTGCTTGCATTGAACTTTTGGAAACAGAAATGGCGCGTTTTCTTATTTAAGATTTCATCCAATTGTGGCTAATGCAGATGACGAAAGTTGCTAACGGCCGTTGTACAAGGCTTGATTTGGAGAGGTTTGGTAAATTTGATGGCCAACTTATTTAGCTCCCGTGATTACCATACGCAAACATATAAATACAAGCTATATTTCACGCTTACGTTCTGTTTCGTTATATTACACACTAAAAAAATTGATATATGCTCAACTTGCTGACTATGAAGAATTCAGCTTTTTAAGTTGGCAGGGAAGGCGGAGAATCGGTTGTAATGGCCATTGAAGGCGTTGAGAAGGTTTACACGCAGGAATGGTACAATTGCTGACGAATATTATCTGTGAAAGTTGCGAATCGAGTCAAATCGACAGAATTTCTAAAATTGATCATTTTGTGCGTTAAAATATCGACTGTATTATCTGCATTTGTTGCGTTTGGTCGAATAATAGTGTATCCAGAATTTGACATCACAATGCCAATGACATATCAATATGAAGGCCTATTATAAATATTATTTAGTACTATATAATAACAATAATAATAACAGTAATAGTAACAAGAAGTCATGAAATTCTACACTACCAATTGGACTGTTGTGGATAACAAATGTGGCTTCACCTAGGGATGTGATGATATCAATGCCTCCATTTCTACTGAATATTTTAATCCATGATTCTAAAAAGTTAAAGTCAGAAGGGCACTCCTCTGAAGACTTCTGATGCTATTGCAATCAGTCAGAGTTTCCTCATCAGGCCTGGAGTAATAAAAAGATTTAATGAGTATTGTGTCATCATAGTCAAGAACCATTGAAGAACATTCACAGCAGGCCGTCCACTGTACGCTGGATACCGACTGGTAACTTTCGCAAGCTGCGGCCACGACGCGCTTTCAATTCAAATAGTCTATGTATCCTATTCACCACAACCTGGCACCCTGGCTCGGCGGCTTTTCAATTACGAAGAAAAGAACATTCATAACAGATTCAAAGACTACAGATGTATCCTATTCACCACAACCCGGCACCCAGATGGGTACTTAATTCGGGGAATATCTTGATGTAAGGAGGGTACTCTGTATTCTCTTTATGCCTAATTGGTAGTGTACATATATGCGAAATTGGTTTGCAGCATTCTCGTCAGCGAAACATTGCGGCAAGAAACAACATTAGTTCGCAGAGCACGACTGAGTAATAATCGGGAGTAACTAATACTTGAGAATTTATGGTAGACTACATATTTTCCTCAGGTACCTTATTGCAAATAAATTAGGGGTACTTTGCATGCGATCATTGTTTATAATATCCTGGATATTTTACTATTACTTATTTCTTTATAAAATCAGGCCTCAAAACTGCTGAGGGATATTTAACACTTTAGTCAGAGAAATACAGTACTCATTTATTAGAAAGGAATGTTAATTGGTCATTATTAATTGGTCATTAAAGGAACTTTAAGTGAACATGAAGGATATCGGAAAGTCGCGTTTCTTATATATCTAATCGACCGACTTGGCAGCCTTACCTCGAAATCCTTGTGATACCATCGGAGTTACGCAATAAATTACGTCATCATTTAATATCACCTTTTGGGGCGGCTGCAGCTGCCTACCTGCTTCAAACAAGTTTCTCCAATGTCTTCTCTTTGTCAACAGGCTCGTCTCCGGATGATTCGCAGTCAGCGCAGTACGCGATGAATGTTATTACGTTCATGTATGCGAATGAGTTGAAGGAAACAGAAAAAATGGAAGAAACTCGAGGCTTTGATCACTTGACAAAGTTCATCACGTATTACATGTTTCCCTGCTATCCTGTAAGGAGTAAACACGTTTAGTACATACTGATACCATAGTTTGTGATCTTGTGTGAGACACTTGACCAATTGTGTTTCATATCAATGACGGAAACAGTATTATGAGACAATAAAAGAAGTGCTTAACGGAATACGTCATGGCCAGTAATTTATGGGGTGGTTAGTGGGCGTTTGGTTTGCAGCATGTCAAACCTCGGCTAGAGCCTTGAGCCCCTGAAAGATGCCATTCAACATTGTTGATTATGCATGTGTAACGACGATAATGCAGTGTACAAGACTGTGTGTCAGAAATGCGACAGTCAGACAATGTCCGTGGGTATGTATGCAGTATGATCGATTGAGATGTCTCTTATATCACGTGATAAAAATAAAAAGCAGTAAAAACAGAGTGAAAATACCAAGCAACCGACCAATTGAAACCATCACATTGAATTGTCGCAATATTAACGTTTTTGCGTGCAATAGACGTTCGTTACGCTTAATCTTTTGCTACAATCTCTAACATTTGGCTTTCCCCTCTTTTTTTTTTTTTTACAGTGTGCGCCTTTCTGTGACGACCTTGAATATTCCTTATCCGGAAGTCAGAAAGATTGCATTCGCATACTCGCATACAACGTACATTTAATATGAATAAACTCAGCAGACAAATATTTTAATATTTATAGGACAAGACAACGCATCGTTGACCAACTCGGGTGAGACGTTATGTCGACACATTTCTCTTTTCATTCTTTCTCACACTCTCGTATTTGTTATAGTTCAGATTGTATTTTTTCTTTCCACATTTACCGCAACCATTCAAGATCGATTATTCAATCTCTTAACGAGGCAATAGACAACGTGCAGAATACGCCTCAAATTAAGCGAGCGCGACGGGTCTATAAACCTGTTTATATACTAAAATGATACTAAACTGATAGGAACAAATAAACAAACGAAATATAAATACAAAATAGAGTGAACAGTGGAAAATAAGGCATTTGACGAGATACAACATAGGACTAAAACGGGACGAACAGTAATTAATATATACTAAGTAATTACTACGTTCTAGACGCACACCATTCTCAAAATATATACCAAAATACCCGCCTAATTACGGTTGGAAAACCAGTTTTTAAACCAGTTTTTTTTTGTTCTCATTGTACTCGCTGCCGCCATCAAAATTTAAGCTCTACTGTAGCTATCCATTATTACCAAAACATTATTTTGCTTTGCATTCTGCACTAGACTCTCTCGCGAAAGCCACTTGCCCAAAACCAAATAACTGTCGCAAGTAAATATCAGCACAAAAATGGACTCATGGGTAAACGTAGGCAATAGTATCAGTGGCAACGATGATGATGACGAGGAAGTCTATGCCGAAGATATCAACATATCCTCAAGCCCAACGCCAATTCCCATACCTTCTAATCCCCGAAAACAAGTACCCAGTACAGCACCACTTCGCACTTTGCAACACACAATTGCTCGTCTACCTCCCGACTCTCACGTATCACACCCACTGCAGAGCACTACTAATAACGCACAACCTGAAACGTTTTCACGCGGAACACCCTCCACACCCTCCACACCCTCCTATTCATACACTCATTCACAGTTCTCAACATCTCCGTCGACAGTGTCGTCTTATGTCAGCTCTTCTTATTTTTCCTCCCGGCCCATATCTCAAATAACTAATTATACAGCTTATTCTAACTCGCCGGTCGGAACTCCGAATTCAGTAGGAAATATAATCCTGAGTGAAGGTAATCTAGCAACAGGAGCAACTACGACAGAAGCAAACACACCACCACACTGGAATAAGGGACCGCAATCACAGCGCTCGGTGACTTCTTTGAAAAGATTAAATAGTGGAATAGAACGCTTAAAGATAGTCTTAGAAGAAGGTACGCCCGAAGCTGAAGGTCATACCGAAAGTACAGGTTCCACCGAAGCAATTAATATAACATCCAACAGTACAAACACAACAAACGCAACAAACACCACCAACATTACCAACGTTGATAACACTGCAAGTCTACGCCGTCACCACTCACCAACGTTTACCTCTCCATCCTCACGTAGACCACACCGCCCATCCGCTCCGTCTCCATTAAATCCCCACTCTGCCTCTCTTTCATCTTCTTACTCTCCTTCGTCTTCATTCTCCGATCGTTCAATTCATCGCCTCAACCGCCGTCCATCCTCGCCAACAAAGCCTTTATATCTTGATCATTACAACCACGCAACAAAAGTAAAGCCGGCGACTGCAACGGTATTTGAAACTCGATCGTTACGCAAGAGACCATCTAAAGACAACACGAGTGTTGAACGAACAAATTCAATGAAAGGGTCGAGTTTTTCGGAGGTTGAGAATATGGAAGGCAACAATGAAACGGGAAAGGAAGGCAACGGAGTATCAACAAATGAAAAAATTAAGGATTTAGACCAAGATCAAACTTTCACTCTTATCCCTAAACGAACTTCTTCTCGTGTCAAAGCCGTGAATTCTACGAGCTCACCTTCAGCTACGTCAACTGCAGTTGATGTAAAATCTGATACCGTTCTCGCATCCGACTCTAATTCACTCGGTAACTTTCGCTCATCTTTATCCAAAACGGCTGTCACACAAAACGTGTTTCGAGGCAGGTCCTCGGGAAGTGCGTCCCCTATTCCGGATGATATAACAATTGCACCAATTCCTGAGCTTGATGATATTCGTGGAACATATAATCATTACAAGTACACTGAGCCTAAAGATTTGGCCATGTATCAATATGCTGGTCGTGTTGACAGGTTAGAATCGATTTACTTTCGAAAGCGTGGTAATGAGTAACAGAATTGGAATATCGAGCAATCATACATTCTGTACAAATTCTACACTTTTCTGATTACATGGTAACTGTGTGTTATTGCTTGTTAACTAATTATTTTATTTGACGTGATGGATAGATTCGGCTTCATTATCTCGGGCGAAGACGAAGCTGCAATGCTGGAAATTGACAAAAGGTTGGTCTATGAATCTTTGCGAAGTTTTGTTTATTTTTAAGGAAACCTAGCAAGGCATTAGAGCAACATTAATATGGTATTCGTTTTTGACGAGTCAACGGATATATATTAGACTGTGAATAGCTCTATTTATCGAGACAATACACATTGATCTGCAGGTACGAACTAAGAGAGTGCAAAAGATCGTTAAAATGGGCCCGTTGGTTAGCAACTACCAAATACATCCAACATTCTGGGAAGTATGGGTCAACGTCTTATGTCTTTCCATCCAATAAGAAGGTAAATATTATACTATATTTCTGATATCCTCGAAGAAAACACGTTACGACGACTCTCAATTTGACTTTTTTTTTGTCATTCGTTCCTATTCATTTTACTTCCATCTATACAGTTCTCGGCTCGAATACAGAAGGGCATTCCAGACTCGTGGAGGAATCTCGTTTGGTATTATCTTGTTGCAAATGGAGCTGATGCTGAATTTGATGAGACTTTGGCGAAGACTTATCACGTAAGTACTGATTGCAATGTATTTTATTGATGCAAGTTTCTCATAATGTGTACATACTTTCATCGTATACGTAGTGCACATGCACTCATATGTTCACCTTCACGTTCTCCCTCTCATAGACGCTTCTTTTGTTAAATTCACCCCACGAGAGACAAATAGATTTGGACGTCCCTCGAACAACGCCCAGTCATATTATGTTTATGACACGCTATGGCCCTGGGTAAGAATATATGATAGACTAGAAGTATTGAAAGAGGCAGGGGATGAGGAGATGGGTGATATAGTGATATATTGAAGTGCTAATCATGAGCTGAATTTTGTGCATACTTATTATTAGGCAGCAAGCATTGTTCAATGTTCTGAGGGCATTCTCTGTTCATGATAAGCAAGTTGGATATTGTCAAGGCATGGCTGCTGTATGCGCCATCTTGCTGATGTATTATCCTGAGGAGGTATGATTCGATGTATTGCTTTGAATTGCCGTAACTAGATTCTATATTTACATCACTCACCTATGATATGTTCTACCTTTAGACTGCGTTCATCATGCTTATCAAACTATTCAACCGCTATAATCTACATCATTTATTCGTTCCTGGATTCCCTGCTTTACTGGAGAGCTTCTATGTTCAGGAACAATTAATGAATACATATATTCCAAAAATATTTGCTCATTTTGTAAGTAAAGGCCAAGTGTGAATCGTTTGTTTCATATGCAACGCACCCACACAATGTATAGTACTAAAGAATTTGTAAACACCAATCCACAGGTAAATCTCAACGTATTATCAAATGCATATGCCACCCGATGGTATATAACATTATTTGCAGGCAATGTAGTTCCTCACCACACGGTACTACGAATATGGGACTTAATGATGCTGCATGGCTTTGATGTATTGTATTTTGTGGCTATTGCAGTTTTGCAATATCATCAAGGTAACAAATAATATATAAGATGCTTAGTGTATAGTTGTGTGATTTCTGAATGAATATTGTTAACATTTGAAAATTTATACATCCATACCAGCGACCTTGCTTGCTTCCGATTTTGAGAATGTAATGAGGTTGCTCTCCAATAGCCTTGATGTCAAAGATGACGACAAACTAATATGTAACGTGAAATGTATGTATGGACGCAGAGGACGTAAGAAGCTTGTTGAAACCTTGAAAGCAGACTATAGAGCCAATGCACGGGGAAGTAACATTACTGAAGAGAAGATCTACTAACTGTCTTGGGCTTGCCATTTTAAATATGGTTATAGTTGACATGCTGATCGCTTGGACGAGCGCTGGAGTAAGCACATTGGACAATACAAACCCTCGGAAATTTATAAATACGTATTCTTACTGTCATTAATATTTAACTCAAATGTAGTCTTGTGTTTTACTCCCAATTCTTGCTTTTCCTTTTGTACACATACAATTCTCTACCAGACATTCTTTTGTAAATAATGAATTAGTGTTATGTCGGACAATGGATTTTGATTAGACTATCTATCATGACTAAGATTAATTGATAAAATTATGTAGGTTCTTATTGATTATAATTTCAGACGGCGAGTTTAGTGAAAAATAAGTTAACTAAGAATTATATTGTATACGTAAGTCAAGTATTCCAACTAATGCAAATAGATAAACGTAAATAAAAGTGTTGGCATTATTATTATCTAACAGTCAATCATATGTAATCAACATTTCAGCTTTCTTGGAGTTGCCCTATTTTTTATTGCAGAAGCAATTGGCTGAACATATTTTCCTTGTCAAACCCTTAAATGAGACAAGCTACTCACTAGTCATGGGCAATCGTTCCGAGGCTGCTTCAAGGGTATTTGGTTTCTGATATTCATTCTAATGAGTGTAGGGGATATTAGTATCATTAATGAACTGATAATGACTGAATTAACAATAGAGAAACATCTGGACTTGTTTTATATTTGATGAAAATGCAAAACAATTTTCCAGTGAATTTTTAATCACATTTCTACATTATCATGCTTATTATCTATAGAAATTGGCAAACCTAACGAGAAGCGTAGATTAACTTTTGTAGGCGCGCTCAATGGAAGATGAAACGCGTTATTAATGAACTAAACCGAATTTGAACCGAACACCTAACAATGATGCGGTATAGTAATCACGAAAAAATGGGAGTGTTTCAAGGATAAAAGCAGCAGCGCCTTAATGAATACAAAAACTCAATATAGTTATACCGGAGCATCTTCGGGTACCAAGTATAGTTTGAACTTCGCATTCACTTCTGGTGGAACATTTAAATGAAGAAAGGGAAAGCTGACATATGTTAGAGCGTAGATATTTGCTTCATCATGCAAAGGGCGCATACCTCCGATATTTAAATCGATATTGTCGGAAATCAGCCTCCGGTAGCCAATTGGGTAAATAAACACTCCAATATTAAGTTGCTGATACATTACACATGATCCGTGGTGTCAGATTATTCCTTTTATTTATATGTACAATGACACGTTGAATCACACACAATTGTGAATGGGATCGGCTTGTATTAAGGTTAATGACTTGGTTTAACGTTGGATAAAAAAAAACCGAACGAGTTTTTGGAACCAATCCCAACACTTCTTAAACTCTCCAATTCACCGTCTTATTCCTTTGCAAATCGGTTATGAAATAATATCTTCTGGCAAACATATTTACCTGTCTATGAAGGCAAGGTCACATTATCCGTTCTATTGCATGTTCTGCAGTGATGGAATTAATTATAACCTGATGGTATCAGCAATATTAAAATAGCTTTCTAGTATGCAACTGGCGCAAAAATTCGCATACCAAGATTAACTTGGTGGGATCTGAATACTTTTTAAGGGATGGGGGAGTTGATATACTGATTGACAAGAGTTTCTTTTAAATTTTACGCTATATCTTTATTATTATGACGCTTGTCTGTCTACTGGTAACCAGAGTTTCATCTCTGGCGGTAATTCATCTTCCGCATATATTCTATCTGCGAAATATATTCGTCGCAACCTACAATTAGCATGTATCTGCACTCGCAAAGTCTCCACGTAATTAGTGCTATACGCCTTACGGGTATAATCAGCCAGGTTGAACTGAATTTGATTCCATCCTTCATCCAGACGCATTGGCATAGTGCAAATGTAGGGTTTGACTTTTGTAACAGACTGTCTCGTGAAGGGAGAGAGAGAAAGAGAAAGAGAGAGAGAAATCATTCCAACTTAGTAAGCTTGCAGTACAGATATTCAAATACTTTATTGTTTTCTACCTGAAAATTTGAAGCGCGAAAACGTCGTTTGATGCCCTTATCATCCAGTATCTGTACTTCAAAGGTAAAGTACTTCTTGACATTCTTTACTATAAGAACGAGGATCGGTAGCTTAATCCCGAGTGCACGATTGAGCTGTGCAGGACAAGTTATGTACGTGTTTGCTACATTTGGTGAGGCCAATTCGATGACCACTGATTGTATATCCTCATCAGTCACTCGATTTACATGACTCTCTTCATGTTTTGAGTCAGTCTCGGTATGCCAAATTTGAAGTGGTTTATTCCTAGCAAGGCATTAAGAACTGCGCATTAGAAGTTATATAAAAAGATTTGCGGTTGATATAATGCTTGTTCATTATGACCGCGCGCTGAGCAGTATTGTTCGTTTCTCCGATAGATGTTCCTGTGTTGATTGTGTTGATTTCTAAAAATGACGGGGCGAATTTCTTGTATAAATAGATTTATGTACAATATCAATTTCGTGAGGCGTTACTGCTTAGTTATTATGCTTTATGTCATACGTTCGTTGTCTCGGCGTTGCTTTTTGTGTTGTTGATAATGCAATTTAGACTCGTTAAGGTGGTAAAAGTCCCTTACCCGATACTGTACAGAATGGAAAGAAATCCCGTCTACAAATGTACACCGGATACGTAAGAAATTGCCAACTGTGAGACGCAGTTATTAAGAGTTCTATGTACCTGAAAAATATTTCGAAACATCTTGTTGTATCTATAAGAGATTTGCGTACTTTATTTTATCATCGACACAACCATAATGGGTCATGTGATATCAAGTGCTTGAATACATATTGATTATATTGTGTAACTGGGTCAGTTCAATGAGACGCGTTGATTAAAAAAATCTTCCTTTCAATGAGGAAGAGACGGAAGCTCTTGTCATTTTTTTCATCGAAAACGACAATAAAATATCAGTAGCCCTAGCCGCACAGTCAGACGACCAAGAAGCAAAATACTTTCGAAGATTAATTGAACCTCGTATGTGCAACGCAAAAAATAGAGGATATTAAAAAACAGTTAGAAGATGCTAAAGAGCAGTTGAAGAAGGCTACAGAAGCAGATGACAAGCAGTTTGGATGGAAGAAGTAAGAAAATGAGGAGACTCATTGCGTGCAATGGCTGCTCAGACTTTTTGACTTGTGATCTGTAAACTTGGCGTGAACTAATCCTAGACGGTTATTCGCCTTCGAGTTAATCGACTATTTCCTTCCGATGGGACCAATTTGGAAGCCTAGGAGTATACTTGTATATGTTTAACGTACGTCTCATAGGCATTAAAAATATATTTCAGAGTATAAAGAACTACTCGTTTATTAAAAAGGAATATTAGTTGAACATTAAAGGAACATTAAAAAACATTAAGGAATCTAACGGAAAGTCGCGCTTCTTATATTATTCGAGATGTCAGTTCTTCTATTTTTGCTAGCGCATGTCTCCCTAACTAGCAAATTATTTACTGAATTGATGCCATACGTGTGGATGTCACTTTCGATAAATATGGACGACATGTCATCTCTGATTTAAAAACTCCAAAAATCAGATATCAGATGTAAATTACGGAAAACTACGCCATCCTTAATACATACATGGTCCTGAAAGTGGTTAGATCAAAAATTAATAGTTATGCTGCAGCAGCCTTAATCTGCGGAAAAGTGTAATGATACACCTTTGAATCGAGGGGTTAAACTTTTTTGTCTACCAGATATCCGCTCGGACCTGAGATCCTCTTTCCTTTTTCAGCGCAATCAGCATAAATTTGCTGATCTAGTTCAATGCTTATTCTCTTAAAAGTGTGATAGCGAATAGTGGAATTTGCCGTCTTTTCTTTCTTTAATATTAACAAGGTTACGTAGCATGAACGTAAAGAGGCATGTCTTTTCGGTAGTTAAAAATTAAATATAGGCCGAAGAAGACTGTTATGTTCAACTTTGTTAATACAGTTACGTTTAACACATTATCCGTTACTTTATTAAATAGTAGAGGTTGCTAAGTTGGATAATTTTAAGGATTGATGGATGTGTCAATCGTCAGCTAAATTTGAGGAGCCAAAACAGCACGCTTTAGAATGATCACTGCGAAATGCTTGTAATCGAGGTAATAGTAATTTTCTTAAATTCGTGAATTCTATCGCCTACATGACACCAAATTGCAGTTACCAATGGTCGTGTGAATCCCAATAAAAAAAACTTATTAGTATCCTCCACTTTAGTTAACTCATGATTTATTCGTATTATTGGCAATATAATTCACGTGATCTATTACTAATAACGGCGTGCATTTTGTGTAACACTATGAGAGTGTGTTGCTCTCAACTTTCTCGTCTCTATCTTTGGACCTACTTTCCCTCAACCATTATGCTTAGCCTAAAGCCGAGCGTACTCTTTTCCCTCGACAAAATAGCCAGCAGAGCCATTGCCATAGCTGGGCCAGTGTTCATAGTAATAGCTGTCGTTTTGATTACATTGGCAGTTATAGCGTATTATACCGTTATATTCCCATATGTATTTGTATGGGATAAGGACTATATATGGTCGAAAGTCCATTACTATCTTGGGTTGATATGGAGCATTTATTTAACTGTGTGTATTGCGTTTCATTATTACATGTCCATAACGACTAAACCTGGAGGTATTCTGATTGGAGGCACGGGAGATGTAAGTAGGAACAAAAGAAGTTTACTGACATATATGTTACCGGGCTGTTATAAATTTATTTATTTTACTTTATTGCTTCCTTTAGCAAAATGAAGACCCAACACTTCACGGTCTCTTCTTAGAACTGGAGGAATATCAAGAATTCCCAAAGACATGTAAAAAATGCCATCTTCCTAAACCGGAGAGAGCTCATCACTGTTCAGTATGCAAACGATGTGTGCTCCGATTTGATCATCATTGCCCATGGATAGCAAACTGTGTTGGACACTACAATCATAGGTACTTTCTCCTATTCATGACTTATCTTACGATCGCTTGCGCCTACTTTGCTACTCTTGGATGGCAACCATTTTTACAGAGTTTGGAATTTGATTACGAGGTATGTGATGATTCATCGTGCAGGCATGTGATTTAAACATAGAAAATAACTGAGGCTAATGACGTCATTTAATTCCAAAATGACATAGTGGGAATGGTGGATGCCCAGACCGTATGTGGCGCTAACATTCCTACTAGCAGTTTCCATAGGGGTGGCTTTAGGTAAGCGTGGGGCATACTATACAAGTGATCTTATTCATACCTGACCTGTGGGGGATGGGCAATGTTCACTGCGTATTAATTCTCAATCTATTATATGGTTTTACAGGAGGAATGTGCTTGTGGCATTATTATCTCGTAAGGGAATCTGAGCATTTGTCCTTTTTCAAGTTTTATTGTCCAACTCAACGTGATTACGTATAACAGGTGGTCAGTGCGCAGACGACAGTAGAGTTCTATAATAACCGATATGCAAAGAGCGAGGCAAGGCGAAGGGGAGAGGTAATATAACAAAATCAGATATGATGTAGTGCATAACCAAGTGACTTACGTTTCTCTAACGATTGAATGCAGGTGTTTGTCAATCCATATAGCCTTGGCGCTGTTAATAATTTAAAGCAATTCTTTAATGTCGGCCGAAACTAGTAAGTCCTTAGACAATGTAATATTGTTGGCCTTGTGTGAACATCTTAATGCGTTGGATATTACTAACAAATTTCTTATCACAATTTTACTCATCATAGTAAATAGTAAGTATAATTAACAGAACTATAGAAAGAACGCATACGGTCACGTATTTGTATTCAGTTGCGGTTTACCATCTTTCTAATCACTCTGATATTTTTTAGCCCCATATATACGATATTTCTTCCAATACCAATACCACCATCGGGTAATGGGAAAGTATGGGAGAAGAATGTAACGCAGCGTTATTCAACGGTACAAGTTGACGAGTACTCAGAAGATGAAGAATAGATAGATTAATTATACTCAAGACTGTATATATAAAACACTATAGATTGATAGGTAATAATACCCGCATCACTCAATAATGGCCATCATCGAATCGTAAAAATAAATCGAATCATTTATGATACATTATTATTATTTGACATTTATTAAGTGTCATGCAAGCAAACACCATTATTTAATAGTTATGTGATTAGTGTATACGATAAAAAAGATATTCTTACTACAGCAATCTGTTAACTCGGCAGCAGAGCTCTGTCTACTTATCTATCGTGTTATATTATAACCTTCCTATCTATATCGTCTTTCTTTACTATCTTTTTATTCTTTCAGCTTACTCGATTCCCGCGTCAACATTCTCAACTATTGTCCACGTGTTCTCCTTCCTCTCAACAACCTGTCTCTCCTCTTCTCTCGTCGAGGTCAATACCAACCCTGTCTCCACGCTTCCAAGCTGAATAACTTCCGGTACTTCTAATTCCACACTCCGTTTCTTACTCCTGTATGTCGCACGTACAAAAGCACCGTATGATTCCGGCGAGAGGTCGTGGGAAAGAATATGAAGAGCCTGTTCCGGTAAGAGAGAGTCAATATCACTTCTCGTGTATTTTAGGTCGTAAAGTCTTTGTCTTTGTGTTGACGTTATCTGTATGAAGAAAAAGAAGCGTGAGGGTCATGTCGGGAAAATGAATATGTTTGTGATAATAATGAAAAGACGAACCATGAATGGAACAGAGGCTGACGAAGACGAAGCTCTTAGGCCTTTGGTAAATCTCGGGTTAATAAGATTAGTATTGCATATTCTGTTAAGAAGGAATGAAGTCATTGTGGATCAAGTGAAGGGTTGCAAAAGTCTCACGCATGGACAGTCCCACAAAATTATTGTCCCACAAATCCATGGGGGTGACAATACCCCAATCACATTCTTTGCTGAAACTCCCATACACCATGTCCTCTTCCGAACCTACGTCGCGTACTCGTCAATCATCACAAATCTACCGCTTCCCGATCCTTCCACCATCACATTACCACGGTTCGCCTGCACCTTATGCTCAACCTGTCGAATTAACTTCTTTCTCGTTCGACGGTACTCGTACACTTCATCTTGACGATCGCGAACTCAGGTACTACTACCCACCCGACCTCACATCTTGTGACCTCTCTGAAGGATATGATACATTTATCCAACGAGACGACTCTACGCCGGATCCGATTGATGCCTTACTCGATGCATTGGTTGATTATGAAAAGACGGTTGGAGACAAAGTTGCAAGAAAGACGAATTTTGTGACGTGGAGGGGAATAATCACAAAAATTCTCTGCACACCTTATAATAGGAATGAGCCATGGGTACTAGGTGCAACTTTGTGGAATGTAAGTGAAGAAAAGAGAAAGAGTTTGAATTCACGCAATGTCTACAAGATTTTATGATTACCAAAAGGGATTCAATGATAGAAAAGTGAGGTTCGTTTAGTCTAATTTGTAAACTTTCTTTTGGGGGTTTTTTGGGGGGTGGTTGACGTTGAGCAGAACACAATGTGAGTAAATATAAATTAAATATATTGAATACCCGTCTTTAATAACAATGACTTATCGTGTTCAATTAATTTCGCAACCTTAGATACATGAACGAACATCTTACTTCGCGAAGAAAAGCTGAAATAGAAAGTGCAACACCTCGTCATAAACTGATGACATATTGGGGTTACAAATTCGAGAATCTCTGCACAGTTTCCGCGAAACCATCAGAAATTACTTCACCTGATCACCCCGAACTTCTCTCACGAAAGTCAAGCGTAGTAAATAACAATGTCCAGTATTGCTCTGTGGCAAAAGCTGCTTTGGGTAAAAATAAAATCATTATAGGAGCAGAAGTTGATTGTCTAAGTGATGTAAAGCCTGAAAAGGGTGAGAATCCGATTGAGAGATATATCGAATTGAAGACTTCGAAAGTGATGACAAGAGATAAAGATAAGATTAACTTTGAAAGGTAAAGGCAACTGATATTGTTTATCCCATTAAATACTTTATGACTATAATATAATAAATTTTGTCTCTCATTTTGTAGATATAAGCTCATTAAATACTGGACCCAATCGTTTTTGATCGGAATTCCACGAATAATAGTTGGATTCCGAGACGACAATGGATTCGTAAAACACTTGAAAGAATACAAAACATTAGAGATCCCGCGCATGGTCAGAGGAAAGCGGAACATGTGGGTGAGTATTGTTATAAGACGTCCTGCAATACATATTAAATTATTAAAAAATGTGGGTTTACTTTTATTTAAGGATGCAAACGTTTGTTTGAATTTTGCAAACAGCTTCTTATCATGGCTGAGGGTTGTTATAGCAGAAGATGATCCAAGAGCTAGCTACTTGATACGATTTAAGGAGCCATTTAGGGAAATAGAAGTACTTTTTATGGGTTGTAATGGAACAGCTGCGGTAAATGAGAGGTTTTTGGGGGTGCTATGAGATGCCGTATAAGCGGAGTGGTGAACATGAACCCAAGATTAGTATGGAGATATAAACACGAATAATCAACAATACCGTCCGTTCTATATACCATATTGTTGTTGTGTTATATTTTATGAGTTCCATCAAGAAATAAGACAGATAGGCGGCAGCCTTGTGAATATTTGTAGATACATCTTCTTGCGAATAATAGCTTCTATGATCACGATATTTAATATGCATGCCAGAGAATGGTTTTTTCTTGTGGCAGAGTTCAGTCTTGCCACAGCGAGATTTGAGCAGATTATTACAGAAATCATACATAGTACACCAAATGCGAGGTATATATTTAAATACGCAAAAGAAGAGGTGTTAATATTAAGATAGATAAATGTTTGATTTCCTTAGTCAGTACGTTTTCTGGCAAAGAGGCCTATGGCGATTTCAGTAATAAAACGTTCTCTTATTAATATTAATACGCGTTTTATTTTTAAGATGTCGGCTGACGTTGCTTTCAATTGGGCATTAAAAATATGTCTTGTTCGGGTCTAGAGAGAGTTTGAACGCTTCACGTAACTCGGCAAACTCTCGGAATCTTTATCGTTGATAAACTTTACTACACTTTCTGTTGATAATTGAGTCTTAGATCGATTAAAACTTGGACTGTTAAAAAGTCTTGCATTGAGAGTATATTTTCTTAGTCTTAATTCCTGAGAAACAACGAGCAAACTTATAATGGACACTGACACTTTACCAAGATCATTTTTCTATATAAGCTCTTTATTCGGTAAGACATTAAGAACTGCAACTGATTTATGGGAAGTCCAACATTATTAACACTGCTCAGCTGATTGGATGTGCATTTTGCAAACATTCCCTCCTCCTATACCAACAGAATTAGAAATTTATCACCAAAGTTTCTCACTGATGTGAATGTGAACCGCCAGATAGTTATCCTTAATAGAATTAGTATGCTTTAAAGATATGCCCATTTTTTCCAAATAATTGTACAATGACATCTTTTCCAGTATAAAATTTCTTTTCATAACGTAATACCCAGCTTTATTAAAATAATTCAATGAAACCAGTCACATGATTTCAGGAAGCAAAGCTTCGAAACAACAAAGGTGAAAGAGTGTCATCTAGCAATTCTGAACCCCGAATCTTTCGGAACTTTAGTCTGCATCGGATGACAACAGTTTTATTTCACTTTTTTTGTTTGTTCGGGAGTGAAATAAGTTGGCCTAGTGAAATCGCCTTACGGTGATGGGCTTTGAAGTTCTTGCAGTGTGAAAAATATTACCAAAGACGCGATAGCGTTTCTGCTTTGCAAACAACATTTTCCTGGTATTTAGATAGAAAAGGATTATAAATATCCGTCAACGATATACACTAAAAATTCTGTTTCTTACCTTAAAGAAATATAACGCTTCCAAAGCTTGTTTCAGAACAGCAATATCACTAATTTGAGTAGGAAATCTTAATGATGGTCCCTCAAACCCGAAATACAATCCGTCGTCTAATAAGTCAACACCAATTACTTGTCCATATAAAGCTAAACACGATAAAATAGAATATGCGCATAAATAATTATGAACACTATACAATGCGTAGTTCATATATTAAAACATTTACCTTCCAATTGCAACCCAATGGTTACAGAATTTTCAATTACTTCATAAGATAGATCATGTGAAAGATATTGATCGAGAACAGATTTGTTAGCTCTCAAGCATTTACTGCGATCATTAATAATCTTGGCAGGAGTGGTTCTACGAGCGCATTCTGAATGACTGAGTTCCACATTTTTTCCTTGATTTTTCCCTCGACATGTAATTTTTAAATCGATTTTTCTACAAACTGCTGTTGCTTTCGAAACTGTTTCGCCCCTATAAACATTTACATCAGAATAGTAACTGATAATCATTTCAGAGAAAACAGGACACTTACCATTTGAGCTCAACGAGATGTTGAACATCGGAGAATATTATATCTAATATTGGACCTGCGACTTTAAGCACAAATTCGATTTCTGTCAAATTCTGTTTATTCCCTTCCCTGTCTACAAAAACATTGGGATCTGCCAGAAACATTTCTATACTAACAAATTAAATCGATTAAAATCAGTTCGGCGCGCAATGCATAGAAATGCATGTGATTCCATTGATTTACGTACATGAAAAAATAAATTTTCATGACTTGACGTTGTAAAATTCCGGTTTGATCTGGCCGTCCCTTTAATCTTTCATACACAAAATCCCTCGCTTCCCAGTATTTATATTCACCACAAAGCTGAATGTTGAAAAGGTTTAATAAGATATCCATAATAAACAACCTATTAATAGATCAGTTACATACTTCCTCTATTTTGTCGATATCACCTTTGATTACGTCATCGAACTTCTTCGGCTTGATGTTTATCTTTGCCAGTACCTTTGCTTTAAGTTCTGACCATCCCTCGCCAAACCACGAATACATGCCACCTGGAAATTCCGAAGAAAGATCAACAATTGAGGAAAGCCCGAGCCTACATAAGTGATCAAAAATTAACATTGCGCATCAAAATAATATATACAAGAGAAAGAAATTATATACCAGATGGTGCTCAAAATAGATGCATCTAGTTTTTTCCCTTTTAATTGTAGTTCCTTGGCTCGTTCAACGGTTTTTGATGTCATAAGGTCAAGAACATCTCTGACCCTTTCACCATTCTTCAACCTCCATCTTTCTCTGTCTTTGTTTGCACTTGATTCTGTCCATTGATCGAATGAAATTGTGTCGATAACATCTTCCTCTGAATTCTCAGATTCTTCACCGCTATCATCCTCGAACTCGCTTTCAGATTGAAATCCAAGGAGACGCATCTTAAAATTCTGTAGATATTATTTAAAATTAGTAAGCTGAGATCAGCTCTTTTAATCCACCCAAAAGTAGATATACCTCATTATTTTCTGGTAAATTTTCTGATTTCCGTTTACGGGTCCTTGGAATAGAATGCACTAGCTGTTCCTTTTCTGTATCTTGTATCCTATCTGGTGAACTGGATCCAGGCGGTGTTATTGTGGTAGATTCATCTTCTATGTCAAAAGCCAATTTTTTAGAATAGTATCTTCCTGTTTCACCAAGAATATTCAGAGCTCCTCTTTTGTGAATTGTTTTCACCAACAACTACATAATAAATAGTTAGCAACAATCAACTGATAAGTAACCGTGACACACACAATATATTGACTCTTACTTCGTTTTTAACACAGAGGATATCTTCCCAATACATCATTAATTTTTTATCAGAACACTCATCGTTAAGCTGTATGAGGAATACAACGTTGTGATAAATTTTTCAAAGAAAAGCAAGGCAAAGCACAAGTCGCAATGATGGCGCTCAGCCGAACACTGAATACCTTCTAATCAGCCCGATCACTGACTAGAGGCGCAACCATCATCACTCGGGCCAGCCGACCACTGAATACCCCTAACCAACCGAGCATTGGTTAGAAGCTCCCTTTTGTAGCTTTGACTCAAATCGAGAGATTGCGTAATGTAGACTGCAGACATAACCTTTTTTTTCAATGCTTCGTAATTATCGGGAATCAAATCCTTAATAGCACTCAGATATCGAGTCTTCCAGGCTGCTTCAAGGCCAAACCACTCACCAACGTCAGGAGGAACTTTTATTATATCATCACGATTCAGAACTAGAAACTCGCGAAATGACCATGTATCACGCTCCTTGAAGTAAGAACGTAGAACTTGAGACTCGATCAGAATCTGTTATCCAGGAACGATATTCGTTATTTTATGCAAGTCCTTAGTATTACGAATAACAACTTACCCTCGTAACCTAGATATTGTTTACCACTAGACATCTTTACTGGATTACGGTGTGAAGTTTTGCAAGTACGCGTAAATTGTTCGCGAGGGTAACACTGTCATGTGATGTTGTTCCATCACCTCTGACTCTAGTACCCCAAGTATAGTACCCCCTTGCTTAGTACCACATTCTGTATATCTGATATGTATTCAATACAACAAAAGCTATTACGCAATCATGTAGCTATGCAGACAGTTAAGACTGATTTCTAATCGTTCATGATATATCATTTTCAACTATCAACTACGTCTGCTTCTTCCTCTACAATTAAAAGATTTTTTCACAATATATCCCATGCATTCCATTGACGACGTACCATACTGTGAAGTTTTCTTTTTGGTAACTCGTTAAAGCGGACTTAGCTACTCACACAACTACTATTCCTTAATTTTAAATTCATATAAATTTGGTTCCACTTATAGTATTCAGAAGGAGTAATCTTACTTACAGAAACCAAAAAAAATCTTGAAGCTAAGAAGTGAGAATGTTGTTATATATATATATGTACCTGAAATGGGATTTCTCTGTAATCAATTGATAGGAAATTATATTGGTTTACTCATCGTACGGGAAATACCTTAAATTGACAAAACTTTCTTTTCATATAAAGCGATGAGGGCAATTCTGGATTTTTTGTAAGAACCTCTTTTATATGGTATTGGTATGTAGAAATAAAAACTATAATTGTTGGTTGCACAATTGACCGGTATAAAGAATAAATTTATTACACTTTATAATAGTGACCGGAGCCGTTATGTAGGCATTTAATTAGCGATGTCCGGTATACAAGAGGAAAAATCATAATTAAAAAACTGTTCTTGGAATTTAGACCACTATAGCCCAAAACCGGTATATTAATATACAGTGACTGGTATAAAAAGATTTCACCGTATGTCTTAAATTATTAAAAAGGCTGTTTGTTGGGAAATGATAACGCTCTATATCGAAAAGAAAACATGTTCAAATTTGATGTAAATTGTTAAATATTTTGATTTCAAAAATAAAATAAAATAAAATACACAAACGTTTTGGAAGTCATCATTGATGGGATGCATCCAAAAATAATCCATCAAACTTTTTCCCGACAGATTCAATCTCATTCACGAGATTGTCTAAATGGCATTTCTGAACTGAAGGTGAATTGATTACCACTCTGAAAATTGCCGGTAATTCTTTTCCAGCTAATTTCAATGGCGCATAATCAAACAGAAACATCCCTTTCTTACAAATCTCGTCATGTACTGCCTTTGTAACATTATCCAAAACATTTCTATACACGTCATAATTGTTTTCACAAAGTTCAATGGGCGCGTACCAAAAACACACTTGTAAACAAGCTGGCTCCATTAGCAGTTTGAATTTACTCTTTGCTTTAATTAAAGCAGAGAGATACTTTGCCATACTAAAAGCGTGTTCAATTCGTTGTTCGTATCCGTTAATTCCGTAGTACTTCCATCCCAGAAATAATTTTACTGCATCTGGTCGTCTACCACATCCAACAGTGCCGTCACCCAAGTCATAATTGTTGCCATGGAACAAGTATTCTGCTCGGAGACTATTGGATCTGGCAAGCGTACGATAATCGCGCATGAGCAAAAATGAGCATTGGAGAGGCGTGCCGAGCATCTTATGTGGATTCAACGTGAATGAATCCGCCTGAATTAATGGTACATGATGTTAACAATTGTCTCTTAACTGTAATAATCAACGTGAGCATTATTACATGTAATTTGATAATTGCTTCCACTAGTACTGTAATTCTTACTCTCACGGACTATTTCATAGTTTTATTGTAATTACCATTTCAGACCCATCCAACAATGGTAATCTCTTCTTGGAGAATATAACGCTTCCTCCCCAAGACCCATCGATGTGATACCACAAATTATATTTCTTTGCTATTCTGCCAATTGCTCGTAGAGGATCGAATGCTCCCTACATATTGACAACACATTGTCTCTGTGAGTAACTAAACATACTGACAATATGCTTACAATTGTATTTATGCTCAACACACAAGAACTGTAGTGCCAGCCGTAGCATTGACAAAGAAAGGAGTGTTGCCAGAATTTATTGATTGGTTAATCATTCGTTCTAACCAAGAAATAAATGCAAATTTTGAGATAGCTTTCACGCATTCTTATCTCTTGAGGCAGCGTAATTAACTGACATACCTAAATCGCCTGGCGACATTCTTCCTTTGTTGTCACAAAGAACTTTAATTACGTTATCGGTACCTATACCGAGTGTCACCGCTGTCTTGTCAACAGAGTAGTGGCCATTTTCTGAGGTAAATATAACCAGTTTATTTTTAAAAGAGCTGTATCCTTGTGTTTTGATCTCTGGAAACATAGTATTTCGTGCCGTAATCATCGCTAGTTGATTAGAGAATGCTCCTCCTGGACAAGTAATGCCACCGCTAGTCTATAGGAGATGACCAAAGTTAATCAAATTGAAACTTGTTTAATGGCTTAAAATAAGTTTATCATCTCTACCTCTCCCATTTTTAACATTCTACCAATACGCGCAGAAATAATGCGTTCAATTAAAGTAAATACGGGAGACACACGAAACACGTGTGCATTCGCATTGAGAATAGTAATTAGCATTTCCGATATAATTCCCACCGGATTGGTTCCCGCGTAGAGTTTGTCCATGAAGCAAGGGTTCCATGTATTGACGCTATATTGCATTATAGATTTGACCAATAAAATAATATCTGTGTATTGCAGAATCAGACAAAGCGGGATAAATCGTCATGATCGGGCAGAAAATGGCGGTCAATACGATCGGAAATAATATTGCTACCATTATTGCCAAGCCCTACTTCTTTCAGATCAAAATCTATTATATTCCCTAACTCGTCCGGTGTTTTAAAATCCACCACTCGAGCATCTACTCGCTGGCTGTCGTTAACGTCTAATATTAATGTGTAGCAATTAAATTAAATCGGTTAGGTTAATGCAATATTTTAATATTGATGGCGCGTCTTACATTCGACAATAATCTGCTTCATTTGTGATATTAGGTCGTCAAGATCACGTGCATCAGCGGATAGATCGGAATGTGTTTGACAGTCCATTATACAATATCAACGAGGCGTAGACAGTTTACTTTATTTCTGTATCGAATTTCAGCGATTGTTTAAGAAACTAAAACTACATACGCAGACGCGAAATCAATCGCGAGGAGCACCCATATTTATATTACACGTTGACTGCTTGTACAACGAGCGACAATCGGCTGCGGAAGGATTGTCAAAGCAAGCCGAAATTTATCCGATCCCGCCATAAACCCCATTTTTGGTAAGTAATATAATCAATCATTGCTGATTAGATCGAAAGGGTCAATTGATTACATATACCCAATGATAATGAGCTGTGGTAGATTGTTAGATGAAATAGGATCGACCGCCCCTTCGAGTCCTGACACCATTTCCATTATTTGAATAGTATGTCCTTATTAAAGGAATACGACCGTGCCTCCGATGCAAATATGGAAATACACTAATCGGTTATATCATAATCAACACTGGGCTTGAAGCGTTAAGAGCATTAATTAGTGCATTGACAAACCTTGTTTCCATATCCGGATCACCGCTCGCACCACTTCTTCGAGAGAATATAATGCGCAGAAATAAAACGAAACTAGTCTTTAAAATAATAATGTGAATACATAGGCCGAGATATTAGAAATAACAAGAGAAATTTCAAGTAGACGCTCACCAAGAGAAAAGTTATTGATGCAATATGCCAACCCCAGTATTGCGCAAGTGCAGGGTAAAGTGTAAAGTTGAAAAAAATCGCTTGATAAATTAGAATGATTAGTACCGTGGTAAATATAATTATAAAATAAATACTTTTGGACATACTTGCGGTTATCCATATATTGCACTTTAATATTTTTGCAAGCGCCCTGAGACAAGCAGTCACAGAAACTGATAGAAGCATTCCATAGGCTACTCCATAACTAGAAGTATTTTCTGCATGAACAATTAATTGGCATTCGCATTCTAATATTTGGACGTTGCTATTCTCCATCTTTTGCTATACTTACCATACCAATTAGCAACGCTCCATAAAGGCTTGATGAACTTCATCAAATCAACATAACTATGCTTTGCTTCTCGTACTGCTTCGGTAAGGTCGTGGATCTCAGTATGAGACGCACGTATCAAGGAAATATATTCACTTTGGATTGAATTTAATGTCTTTCTATATTCTAATACAAAGTTGTCATAATACGCCTGTCCAAAGAGGAAATAATTTACGGTGGTATTTTAACGTTAAGAGACGTTCAATAAAAATTAAAATACTGACCAGAAACTTGTCAATATTAGAGTTTAGTTGTAGTTGACGTTCAAGCGAGAATTTTGTTGCTTTTGACATGTCGGCGAGAATCTTAGAGCGAGAACAAACTTAGAGTGAGTCAATGTTATAGGATAAGAGATAATAGATTCAAACAGTACCGAATATGTTTCTTCAACGCCTTTATGATGAATTTCGATTTGGGTTGCCATAAATGCCTATTGTTTGGTTAGAAAATGAAAGAGCGTCCAATAGAGTACTGTAAATGGCTTATATTAAGTATTGGGACATACCATATATTCTCTCATCTTTGATTCATAGCTGTCTGTTAATTGGTTGATATGTTCGTATGCATTTTGTACATGAGATTGAAAATACGCGATACCCTGTCGATGAAATATGATAACAATTAACTATTCAGACATTAATTGCTTTTGCGCAAGAAAACAAAGCTGATAACGGACCGAGGAAAGCCTATTCATCTGATTTTTAACATCTCCAAAATACTGTTCACTCTTCTGGACACCAATCTCTTGTAGTTTTGAAAACTCTTCATCTACCCTCCGCATGCTGCCCATTAGGACATCCACGACCTGAATCAAATATCGTGTTGTCTTGAACGCAATAACCAGAATATTGGATATTTTTAATGACCAACGGAAATACCTTTGTTAATAATGTCAATTTTCCTTGTATATTGAGTATACTTTGGTTTGTATTGTCCTCAATAATATTAAAATTTTCCGCTATTTCCGTTTGACTTTTTAATGTATCGGACGCTAATTCCATCGAAGAAGCTAATTTTGAATAAAGCCCCATTACGGTATCCGTCATACTAATTGTTGTATTCTTCAAAGGACACGAAAGTATCAGTAGCGCGCAGCAAACATCACAAACAATCATACAAAACACACTAGCTAAAAGTTGTTTTAGTTACCTCGATATTTGAGAATTTAACGGCTATCTGGTCTTGGAAGGTTTCCATATTTGCGAGTTTATGCATTTCTTCTTTGCGCCAATTAATAAATTCCTGTTGTTGAGAACGTATCATATTGTACGTTTTCACTTGTGATATGGTAATATTCTTGTGAAGTTGTGAGAGAAGCTCTTGATGAAAAATAAAGTTTAGATGCAATAAGTTAAGAATTATAATTTACTTGCCATTCGAACAAAGAACTCGATGCTAACCTCGCTCCATAGGATACCGAACAGCGAAACACATCATAACTCAAAACACGGACGTTGTGAAGGTTAGTACTCTTTATTTGCCTAAAAAGAGATTGATTAGTCAACAACACTCACAGACTTGTCGAAAGTATCCTGAATAAGAAGTCCATAATTGCGCATTATCCTGAAGAACGCTAAAAAGTTATACATAATATGAATGTCAGCTGGAATTTTAAACAAATGTCTTAGGAATTATGTCCCCTTTACCTAATACAGTCGGTAACTGCACTGTCGTCTTCACACTCTATTGGATGTTTACGATTGGTAATCGAAATCTCACACAGAGTTAGTCTTATTGCAACTACAATAATAGTATGTATGTTAATAAATTTATTTGGGAAGCAAAGATAAATTTTAGTATTAGTTGTAGCTACATCGTATTTGATCTTCAACGGGGATGTTTGGTTCTTTGCATCCGTGTCGTAGTGTGTCGGCGGCAGATTTAAAGCATGTCTCGGGATTCTGTTCGTACTGTTTCAGTGTACCTATACTCAATTTGACAGTCAAGCCGTTTATTTTATGGATAGCTTATATTTCAACTTTTATTAATCAATAAACAGACCAAGTCCGAGCTCAACGACACTTCTTTCCTCGGCCGATAATTCTGACAGGCCTTCTACCCGAGCTTTTCCATAAAAACTTGGCTTGTTAGCTTAAAATTGAAAATTAATTTTAAATATATACTTTAAAATACTAACATAAATCCAACTCTTCGTCGAATTGGCCGACGAGGTTGTTATTTGCGAATAGAGAGCCCAGCATAGACCAATGGCATGATGCTAAATACGGACCGATGAGCCAAAGTAAGAGAATCAATAAAATTGTTGGTGTGTTTGAATAAAACATTGTAAGTAAGCGTTAGTAAAAACGGGACGTGGCTATTTAATGATGGCAACTATATATAGCCAATCGTGGTTATGCGGAATAAGGTTATCATTTATTTATTCCGCTTGCAATAATGCAGCAAACTTTAATATACGTAAGTCAGTTGGGTTTATTGCTACATAATTATGAAGAAATATATGCAAGTTAATTATCGATCTCAACGCGTTAGAGAATGAACATCTTTGTGTAATTCAGATAACAAGTTGGTTTAGGCAATTTGAGCAAAATGCAAAATACAGGATGTCCAGCAAAAGCATTTGCACAAATCACTTTAAACGTAAGTGCAAGTCACATGTAAAGCATTGAAAGATATTTTAAATTTATAACGTTTGACACGAACTATATTAATATGGCTGTCGTTGAGCATTTTCCATGAAACCAGAATTGCTTTATCTCGTGTATTATTTATCATCAGGATTATACATAGGCAGACTCGATAAGTCGGTTTTGGCCTAACTCGGACAAAATTATTTTTCAAAATCTCTCGATAAGTCAGTCGACATATGTAAAGTCGCGATAAGCTGTAAGTCGGCCAACCTTCTTTAACGCTATGTGTAAATTACCTCGATAAGTCGGTCTCACGTGATATTTGGAGAATATCATTACTGTTTGGTAACAATGCAATATTAATAATTAAATCTCTATTTGCTATTTATTTTACTGATTGTTATTTTTAATTATAGTAAGTATC